TACTACTAGTAAGGCACTTGTTACTACTAGCGTGGCACTTGTTACTACTAGTTAGGGGTTCCGTTCAACGTACCCATCAGAATGTTGGAGACCGAGAGCCAGTTCCTTGAGGCACTTATTTGCACGATGAGGGCCCCCCCTGCGCCTAACCGTGTAGTCAAACGGTGCTAAAGATCACCAAGCTGCTTGCACCGCCTATAAGGCAAGAACAGAAAATTGCTAAATTACATGGTTTTCTTTGTTAGGTTGGCAATTGGCTTGGGCAGCGTACGTGATGTGTTTTTTGCAGTTGCTGCTTCCATTTGTGGGGGCTGCGATGGTTTGAGCACTTTGTTGTTTGCAGTTTGCACGGCCTCCTGATTTGTGCGGTGTTTGTGGTTCATGCCATCATTTAGTTTGTCTATTGTTTGCTAATCATTACAAGTTGTCAACACGATGTTGTTCCAAACGACGGACTTTGATTTTGCACCTTTCACGGAAGCGTCAGAGGGATGTTTGCTGTTGTCAGGCAAGATTATCGGCCAAAGTCCTTGACGGACGAGAACATTGAAGAGTTTCTTGGCTGTTCTGGTGGGTTCGAATGGAAAGCCTTCACAAGTCTTTTGCGCTGCCTTCATGCGCTGCCATCGAATGGGGAGCCCTCTGCATACAGGGCTCTTAGCTCCGTAAAAACGGACTCTTTGGACGGCAGCGTTTGTTGATGCCCATTGACAGCAAAACAGTCCAACCATGATTAATTACAGCAATAAAACCTCCCGCTCGAATTGGAAAGCCACTTCCTGTTTATAATAGATTAGTTTACAATTCGCATCAGTTGACCGACGCTATCTCTGAGGCTGCAGAAGCGCCTCAAGGCATTGAAGGAGCACGAGCAAGAGGTGCTTGATGCGTGCGGAATAAACCTGAACTCATAATACAGTGTCAAACAACTCTTTCCCTTACGGCTCTTAGATTAGAGGCCATCGCTCTTAGGTTGGAGGCCATTTGCTTTTGGATTGGTGGTGAGGTGGTAGGCTTGTAAGCAAGTAGCTAGAAGTAAGCTAAGTAAGCGATCCAGAAACTACTAGCTACCCGACGCAGGGAAAGGTCAGGCTTCTGTTCATCTGGTTCCTAGATTTTTTGGGAGACTTAACTTAAGTATTTTGTCAAACAGAGAACCTGTCGCGCAAACGAAGTGAATGTGCAAACATGTGGCTTTGAAGCGAACCGAAAAGTCAGAGGCTGCGTCCATGGCTGGCCTTCGAAACGAATTGGAAGCCTACATCTATGGCAGCCTGGAACCTTGGAACCTGCAGTTTCCTCCCCAGCCTCGAGTTGAGTTCGCGGTTTTAGTAACAAGAAGCTATTAGGAGCAAGGGCATCGCTACTAGTAACAAAGGGCATTACTATTAGTAGCATTCTTACTAGTAGCAAGAAGCTATAGAAGCAAAAGGAATCTAATAGGAATGGCCAGCAACCTACTAGCGATGGCCTCCAACCTAAGAGCGATGGCTTTACATATCCACAAATTTGATAATGGCCATGGACTGTTTTTCAGAAATAATTACAAAGCTGCCACTGGAACCGTGGTTGACTTGTCAACGTCTTCCGCATATGGTCACCAAGAACGCAGGTTGCCAATGAAACACAACTTATTACTAGGCGGAAACTGTTGGCTTCTTTTGGCCCGCCCTTACGCAGTGTATGTGTTTGCGAAGTGTGCTGTGTCGCTAAAAGACAATCTAACACATGTTGGCAATCTTGAACTTACTGCGTTGCACCATGGTGTGGTAAAGGGTTTTGCAGAGCGGTTTTGCTACAAGGTTTGCTGCAAAGCGGGACCGTTGGGGCTATCGACGATTGAACGATGTCCGGACAAATCCAAAACAATCGTCATGTTTGTAAGTCTTTTGTAGCAAAGCCCTTTTGCCGCGTTTGCCAGATGATATGACAATGATAGGACTGCCTTGAAATATCTTGAAGTTAGCGAGGTTACCACAGCAGTATAAGTTTTGCGTATCACAGTGCACTATGAGGATTTGGATGTCATCCACAAACCAGATGTAAGAAGATCTGCAGCTGCCATGCTCTAGCAAGCGTTTGTGCTCTAGTCCGACTACATTTGTGTGACGACTGCTTTATGACAACTAGCAGGTTCTTTCCGAAAACAATCCTATCAGGTTGGAGGCCATCGCTTCTAGGTTGGAGGAGCAGGTTCTTTCCCTAAACAATCCAACTCCTCCAGTCCGGGTCTGGAGGCGGCGTTAGTTTGGTTGACTAAAATCGAGAAGGTCAAATCGGGGTTGGGATGGTGTGTCATGAGCTTCCTTGGGATCAGAGATATTGAAGTGCTCCCGCATTGGGTAGGGTAGGGAACTGGTTTATTCCAGCACTCCTGCAATCAAGACATGAGGTTCGGCCAAGACACGACTTCTAGGAAGCTCATGGAAGCTGCATTTATGCTCATGGAAGCTCCAGGCAAAGACAAGATGGAGCGAGAGGATATCATCAAGGTTCGACTCTGCCACCCATACGGTATTGCATCGTGAATGTTGCT